TCCTACCCCTGGCTCAAAAGGCCTAAATAGGATGAAGAGAAGACCCAGATTCAAGCTGCTTCAATGTACAGTTGGCCCTCTGTACCTATTTGTTCTGCACCCAGGAATTCAACCAACCACACCATGGATTAAAAATAGTCCCCCCCCCAAAAAAAAATCCAGAAAGTTCTAAAAAGTAAACTTGAATTTGTTGTGTGCTGGCAAATATTTACATAGCATTTACATTGTATTTACAGCTATTTACATAAAATTTACATTGTATTAGGTATTATAAGTAATGTAGAGATGATTAAAGCATATAGGAGCATGCGTGTATGTTAGATGCAAATACTACGTAGGCCATTTTATATAAGGGACTTGAGCAAGCTTGAATTTTGGTATCCTGGGCATGGGGGGGTCCTGGACCAATGCCCCCCATGGATACCAAGGGACAATGGTATTATGCTCAGGAAGATTGGAGAGGAAGTGGGAAGGGGTGGAAGAGTGGAGAGAGGCTCCAAGAACTGTATCAGTGAGATTAACGCTGAGTTGAATCCAGCTCTTTGGTTCTTACAAGTTGGGTCACTGTCTCTTCTTCTTTTTTTTTTTTTTTTGGTACACAGGCCTCTCACTGATGCAGCCTCTCCCGTTGCGGAGCATAGGCTCCGGACGCGCAGGCTCAGTGGCCATGGCTCATGGGCCTAGCCGCTCCGTGGCATGTGGGATCTTCCCAGACCAGGGCACGAACCCGTGTCCACTGCATCGGCAGGCGGACTCTCAACCACTGCACCACCAGGGAAGCCCGGATCACAGTCTATTCTTAATTCCACAATCTAGAAGTCCAATCAAGCCCCTTCCAGTGTTCCTGGGCCTTTCCCTCTAAGCATCCTCAGCACCAACCCTTCTAAACGTAAGTCACCCTATTTAGATCCAACCCTCCTGTCAGTGGTTGTAGTAGGGATCAGTTTATGGATCTGAAGAGCAGAGAGTCTGTGTCTTTCCCCTTTTCTTAGAGCCAAGAAGTCTGCAGCAGTGAAGGAAGGAAGGAATAGCAGTGGGAGGTACAGTGTTCCAACTGATTGGCAGTGGGGTGGGGGTGAGGGACAGCCTCACTAAGAGAACCATCTAGAACCATAGCTTCTCATCTAGAATACTTGGGTTCACTGTGAGAATAGCCTGGAGCAAAGGTGTCAAACACCAAAGACTGACTTGTGGGCATAAAGGAATTGCAAGGCCTTGGGTAACACCAGAGAGGGGTTATCTAGAGTTATCAGGAGACAGCCAGAGATCTGGCTCCTAAACTCATTTCCCAACAAACTTCTAGGGGAAATTCCCTGGATGGCTATGGGAACTTCAGCGAGGAAAACCACATCTGGAGTTGTAAACTGTGGGACTTCCATTGAGAGGTGAAAAGTATCTAGTCAAAGGCACAGTTTGCAGATAAAGTGAGATCCTTGAATGTGTTTCCTATTAACATATTTCTTCAAGGGCTGTTCCTAGCTAAGCCTCCTTGGTTGAATTTCTCACTGGGCCACCTTGTTACCAGAATGCCATAAAGGGTAGCAGAATATGCCACCCCAAAATATGCCTCTGAGGGGAGCAACATTTGCCTCCCCAAAATGTGTCACTTTGGCATGTGGATTATTTTGAGCTGAAAACAATCATGGCATACAAGACTCAGAAAGAACCATTGACCTCCCCTCTAACTACCTAAAAGAATTATGAACAAAGAATATCACCTGCCATTTCAGTAAACAAAGGATATTGAAGCCATCAAGCCAGCAACCACTGCAGCCACCCACAACGGTGCCCCCTGAGGGGAACTCAGGATGGAGATAAACAGGATACTAGCCCTAGATAGTCAAGGTGCATCTCAAAGGAAAGATTTCAATGAGCCCAGACTCTTGCATCTTCTTATACACAGAAAAGTGCTAAATTCATTAAACTTAAGATGCCTTGTTTTTCTTTAATTAACAGTAATCTTTTGATGTTCCAACTACCTGTTGGGTTTTTTTTTGAAAAACTCCTATATATCCTGGCTCCTTCCTAACCTCTTCAAAACAGCCCCTCAAAGCTATCTGAGAGGCTGTCTCCCAAGCTTAGGTCCTCAGTAAGTCCACCAAATAAAACATAATTCTCACCTTTTAGGTTGTGCATTTTTTTCAGTCGACAGAATGTAGGTAGGGGACTTGTTCCAGGAAGATAGTTACACCATGGATAATTATAGTATAATATGAACTAGGTGTGTAGACAGGGAGGAGCCTAAAATTTCTCTCTGTCCCACTGTCTCTGCAAGGCTCAACAAATATTTGTTTACCACCATTTGCTCCTTTCAACTTTGGTGAATTGCCTTCCTTCCCGTAATACTATCCCCAACATCCTCTTTTGTCTTTAGCTGAAAATGGTATTTGAGATATCAGCTTGGGCCACTGGGGGGAGTTTTAGTCAGCTTTCTTGGGTATCTCCCAAGCATACAGGAAATATACATTTTGTTAAGCTTCTGTTTGTTTTTTGTAAAAAATAATAATAATAATAATAAATAGAAATCTCCATTAAATAGAGTCAGGAGACCAGAAGGGGGAACTCTCATGCTCTATGAGGATAGCAGAGCCAACAGGAAGAAGAAAGATTTCCTCTTCTTTCCTGGCTCAGACATTAAGAGACTGTCACAACTCAGCCAACAAAAAGCCATGCTCTGTTTACTATAGCCCTCCCAACTTCCTTTTCCCCTCTATAAAATTCTCCTCTCCATTTTTTTCTGGAGACTTGCATGTGGCTCACCATGGTTGTAGACCTCAAATTGCAATTCTTTGCTGATCCCAAATAAACCTATTTTCTGCTGGAGAAATAACTGGCAGTCTGTTTGTTTTAGGTCAACATTTTCTCTTGTTGATCTATCTCTTATTACAGGGGGATCTCAGCCAGGTCTCAGAATCTAGAAGGATAGAGGGAAAATTCTTTTTCCTGTCCTATAGTCAGAATGTTTAGTTTATATCCAGAACTTGTCTTCAAAGCATGTTAGTAGCAATGCCATCCTGTTTCTTCTCTTTGAATGGGAAATATGTCATCAGGATTAGATGCGGACGTGTTGGTATTTACAGAAACTCTGGTTCACTTTAAACCCTAGCTCATGTCAAGTATTCCTTGAATAACGGGGAATCATGTGCTGATAGTCTAGACGGGGATTGTCTCAGAGGACGCTGTAAATCCAACTACTCTAGTTCTTTGGGTGAAGAGGGGGGGTAAAAAGGCAGGAATTCTGGGCACCTGTGTATGGAGAATTTGAGAGGTGACTCTGAGAAAAGATAAGATGGTCATCATGTGCCCTTACATCTCGAGCCCTTCCCAGCAACTTAGTGTTATCTACTGAAGACCTAAATCAAGTAGCAACTCAAGGAATGTAGAGGCAGGAGGGAGACACTCCTAGGGCTCATGTGTGAAGTGGCAAGCTAAGAAAGAGATCCATTTTATGTCTGCTAATAACTCTTTTTCTGGGAAAAATCCCCAGTTTAAATTCTTCTAGGAACTTAAGTGAGGGGCAGTAGTTTCTCTTGAGTTAACAGGGTCTCCATTGCCATTAGCTCAAAATAATCCACATGCCAAAGTAGCACATCTTGGGGAGGCCTCTTCTGAACCCCTAAGTTTTTTAACAGGTGGCAATACAGTACTGTATACTTAAAATGTGCTAACAGGGTAAATCCTATGGATTCTCATCATACACACACACGTAAGGGTAACCATGTGAAATGATAGATATGTTTGTTAGCTTGACTATAGTGATTATCTCAAAATGCATATGTATACCAAATTAAGTTGTATATCTTAAATATAAATGATATATGTCTGCTATAATTCAAATGCTTTCAGCTCAGTCCTTTCTCACACACACATGCACGCGCACACACACACACACACACACACACACTTTCCTTCTTTAGCAGTTAATGTCTTTATACATCTCTGTCCCCCAATTTGCTCCTAAATATTTAAAGGGAGAAGGAAGGGGTATGAGAATTGTCTTGAGAGGAATCATTCTCTCTGGAGCAAATGAGACAAAGTTTTTTGTGTCATTGTCATTGATCTGATGAGCTTTAGTCTTGAGCCAGAGTTTATGAGGATATTAAATTGTGTGCATGTTTATAAACTAGAGAAGAATTAAAAGAGGATAAGAGGGGGAAAAAAATCTCACACATAAGACCATAGTCTTCTCAAATACTTGGAATTGAAGGTATCTTATTTCCTTTATTATAAGGAAGACTTGAAAAATCTTTCAGTCAGGAAGAGTCTTAATGATCTAGTACATTTTAATACTCTGACTTACTAGGGCGACTCAAAAGTTTGGGAAGAGGAAAAGAAAATCCCTTGTATAATTTCTTGATCTTATTAGATCCAAACACAGTAAGGTTGCCACAGTATACAGATAGAGCTCTCATGTTGCCAGTGTCTATTTCCAAATTTTTAATGCTTCCCCCAACAGCTGACATTTGGGAATAACAGAAACCAGATATTTTCAAAACATTCCTTGTGATGAAGTGGAAAAAGCCCTGGATTAGTAACCGTGTAAACTAGACTTTTTTTTTTTTTTTTTTTTTTTGCGATATGTGGGCCTCTCACTGTCGTGGCCTCTCCCTGTTGCCGGACGCGCAAGCTCAGCGGCCATGGCTCACGGGCCCAGCCGCTCCGCGGCATGTGGGATCCTCCTGGACCGGGACAAGAACCCGTGTCCCCTGCATCGGCAGGCGAACTCCCAACCACTGCGCCACCAGGGAGGCCCTAAACTAGACTTTTGTCTCAGCTTTTCTACTAACCTTTTGGTCTTAGCAAATCTCTTAACTTTGGGCTTTTGTATATTGCAACACTAGCGGGAGCATCCCAAGGGTGCTATGGTATTAGAATGAGATAACTTAGATGAAAGCACCTTGAAATTCTTGAAGTGCTAAGTAATGACTAAATTCCAGAGGATGAGATGAGAGAGAGCAAAGCTGACCAACATTACAGAAGGAAGCTTATTACAGAAAAGCTCAGATTCATTATAAGTTTATGTCTCATCTTTCTCTTTCATGCAATGTATTTAACAGAATTGGTTATATAATGAACAAAAAAAAAATAAAAAGGAAAGAAAGAAGCAGTGGAGACGGAGCCTGGGACAGCTCAAATGCATTACTCATTTTTATTTAAGGAGTAAATTAAAGGCCAGCAGCTGGGCCATAACCCCTGCTGGGTGGCATCTATTTATCAAAGTGCACAGGCACCGCTGGGTTACCATCACAGGCAATGACAACACGTCTGGTGCTGGCATTGGCCCGGTATCTGCAGTTGGGAGCCCTGGAACTTTCTGTCTTTTTGCAATCTGTGACCTTCATTACACCCTGATGGCAGTTCATCTGGCCATTCTTGCACCGAATATTGGCGGTACTGCAGATACTATGATTGCTCTGAAGGTCTTCATGAATGAAAGTGTTGAAGGGCTTGCACTGAGGTGAAGTCATATTCCGCCTTTGCATCATCAAGTTGCAGTAGCTCTCATTGCCTCCTGTCACATTAGGGTCCACATGTTGCTGCAGGAATCGTTGGTACATGCCATCCTGGCCATAGGAGGGCTGTACCAGCCCCAGCCCCAGCAGGATCAGCAGCAAGAGCAGAAGTAATGCACGGGTCCTCTGGAGAGCCATCACTATATTGGAGATGCCTAGAGAGAAACCAAGGGGCAGGCAAAATCATCCCTGATTCAACAGGAAGCGAGCAGCCCAAAGCAGCAAGGACAATTTTTGGAGCGTCAGGTCCATTTTCTACACATGCAGTCCAAGGGTTAGCCCCAGCTGAACTCCTAGTTTGATATATATGGTTACTACTGTCCTTTGTTTCAAAGAGGCTGCTTCATAATGGTGGATCACCCCGTGTGAGTGATTAAACGGCTGATGAGGGACCTGCACTTTATTCCACCTACAGCCTATCCTTAACGATTATGATTAGGATCAAACATAACTATCATTCTTTTAAATGCCAGCTTCTAAGTTCACAACCACCTTTTGCCTGTGCACAGAAAGATACGAAGCTCTATGTCATATTCCTGTGTCTGATGCCGCAGATATGCGATATGGAGTTGGGAAGTGAGGGAAGTGAAGGAGTTGTGGGAAGCAGGATGGCAGGAAGAAATGATGTTCGATTTACCCCTCAACCCCAGGACCACTGGATACAACTTCTGAAGATACACTTGGCACTTGGGTAAGAGCTTCATCACAACAATGTACTTTGGGTTGCTTTTCCCAAATCCAATTTTGCGCAGTTCTGTCTACTTTCTCTCATCCTGCTTCTTTGTGACCAACAACATGGTTTAGTAAGATGACTAGCTACAGAGTAGATTAAACTATTCATACAAGAGCAAACCCATGACCTCAGCCACAGTAACCAACTGATTTAACAAGACATGGAAAAACATTATGAACAGAAGTCCAATGTAGACATCAATGGGTGCATCTCAAGGTTCTACCTACAACAGAAAATGAAATGATCCCTAAATCCTCCCAACACATACTTTTGTTTAGCGCTTGCCCCAAAGGCTTTCTCCACCACACACCAAATCTCAGTAAGAACTTCTTTTGATACTGTGATCCCAAAGACCTAGTTCTGCCACACTAACTGTGTGACCTTGGGGAAATTACTTAACCTCTCTCAGTATATTTCCTCACAAGTAGAATAAGTATAATAATAATACCTACTTCTTAGGAATGTTGTGAAGAATAAATGATAAAATCAATGTAAAGTGCTTATCACAATGCCTAGCCTATGGTTAAGTGTTCAGTAAATGTCAGCAATGGCCATTTTTACAATTTCCATTTTTCTTGGTCTCCTTTGTTCCCTCAATCTGATATAATAACAACTAAACTGAATTGCACTTATTATTGACACCCTCCCTCTTATTTTGTAGAGAATCTGTATTCGGAACCAGGGCTTTCGGTCCATTTCAGGGCATGTAGGCAGCAGGGGAGGCCAGCATGGGGAATACTGTGACCACTGTAGTCATTCATAAGATGGCAAAACTAGTAATGCACAACTAATTTATTAACTACTTTCTAAATAAAATATCCAGGCATCTGTTGATGAGATTAGGTAACAGGAAGTTAACCACTGAACCCGTGGATTAATTAGCATATTTTACAGAGACTGTTAACCTAAGTTTGTATTTACTTGAAAACATATCAAGTTGAGGAAGAAAAAAGGATAAGCTTGGAATCTTTCTATGGCCTCCCCAAGACCTCAGAGTTGCCAGACGTCAGTTGATAAAGTAAAAGATTAAAGAGAAAATAATTATAGTAATCAATTTTTTGATCTTTATATAAAATAACCATAAGAATATCCTGGCAGTGTTCCATTCAAAGCAATATCAAATTACTTCCTGCTTAAGGTAAGAGTGGCTACCCTAAATGGATTTTGGTATTCATGCAGGATTACAAATGTATATGTGTGTGTGTGTGTGTGTGCGCGCGCGTGTGTGTGAAAGAGACAGAGAGTGTAATTAATCTGTTGGTATTTAGTCCTAAACTCTTCTTCCTAAGGCTTAACATTTGTAAAAGTAATACTGGCTTATTAAAGGTGACAGCAAAACAATTTGCTTCTCCTAAAAATTCTGCTTAGTGGCCTTGAGCCCTGGAATTTTCCCAGCAATCTCTGTAAGATGAATTTAACATCCTTACCTTCATGGAAAGGTAAAGTCCACCTCCTTAATGCCTGATAAGGAACTAACTGATAAGGAAAAAGGCATTTCTATCCCATCCAACCCTCTCAGGGGACAGCTGAATAGAGAAAATGGGGAAAGATCAATAGACCAAGAATCAGTGAGAAGACTATGATTTTTCCTGATTTCAGAGACGTTTTTATTTATTAAGCATATTATAAAACAGAAAACAAAAGATCAGCAGCTCATTTTCTGGATTCCTAGCAATGAATGTTGCTACAGTATGAGGGGGAAATGCAAAGAAAGAAGAGCAGAGCCAGCTCTAGGCTACTGCCTTGGAGGGATAAAGGACTCATCAAAGTGGGTGGGCCAGCCATTTTCACAGCCAATAACAATGACTCTGTACCCTCTTGTGGCTCTGTACTTGCATGGAGGCCTTGGGGACCGTCCTTTATGCTTGCAAGTGGTGACCTGGAAGGGAGACTTGCTTATTCTGAGATTGCGGCTGTAAGGTTTTCCATTCTTATCTTCACAGATGGCCTTGATGTCATTCTTGCTGCCATGAATAAAGGTGTTGATGTCTTTGCAGGTTTTGATCAGGTTTCGGCTCTTCATTATGCTTTCACAGTATCTGTCATCCTGGCCCTTTGGTTTGGGATCATAGTGCTGGGACAGGAAGTGTTTTTCCCTCTGTACACCTAAGCATATCTTTTTCTTTTCCTTTCCTCATTAGTCTCATAGGTCTTGTCAATCAATTCCTTTGGAAAGTCTATTTAAAAGTTTCCTGGACACACCTTCCAGCCCCAACCTCTCTTTCCTATCCCTGAAAATTTACGTTTCTACCAGTTGTAGCATTACAAAATCCATTCACACTCTTTAATTCATATTAACTAATTTAATAACAAACACTACATAAGCCCCTGCTGGGTACCAGTCACCGTGCTAGGTCCTGGAACACAAAGACCATTAAGACACACCAAGTCTTGGACTCCCCAGGTGGCACAGTGGTTAAGAATCCACCTGCCAACACAGGGAACATGGGTTAGATCCCACATGCCACGGAGCAACTAAGCCTGTGCGCCACAACTACTGAGCCCACGTGCCACAACTACTGAAGCCCGCGCTCCACAACAAGAGAAGCCACCGCCATGAGAAGCCTGTGTACCACAACGAAGAGTAGCCTCCACTCGCCTCAACTAGAGAAAAGCCTGTGCGCAGCAACAAAGACCCAACGCAGCCAAAAATAAATAAATTTATTTATTTATTTATTTATTTATTTATTTATTTATTTAAAAAATAACAAATGGTATAGTGTCATGGATATTAAATTAATTATTAATTTTTATATTGTGCTTTTCTTGTGTGTAAGTCAATAAACATATTTTCGTATTAAATATTTTTGTAGCCCTTAAAGAGGCCACAGGTTGTAGCACTGAAACTGTAGTGATGCTAACCAGCCCTGGGAGTACAACTGTGGCTCTAGAAAGACAAGAGGATTCGGGGTTCCACTGGTTACATGTGAAGGCATGTGACAGGGTGAGCGAAATGACCTCTCTTCCTTCCTTTTTTTTTTTTTTTTTTTAGTGAAGCAAGTAAAGTGTTTATTAGGAGGAAAAAGAGTACAGTACACGTGGATAGACACACAGAAGGGCTCAGAGAGAGAGATAGTCATGCCCTCGTGGTAGTTTGAATCACTTTTATGGGGCATTTCACTACCTTGTCTGTTTTATCATAACTGTAGACAAATTTGGTATACTGCCAAAGAATTACCAAATTATACACTAAGAAATTACCAAATTATACACTAAATCATTCCTCAATTCTGAAATAAAGAGTCACTGAAAAGGTTTCCATTAAGCACATAAGAGTATGATCTGTAATAGCAGCAGTAAAAGTGTTCTTGGGAGGTTAGCAAGAAAGTGGTACATGATTGGAAGAGTCACACCTAAAAGAATAACAAGTAGTCCTACATGGCCGCTGCTCCATCACAGCTGCTGGGCTGCCATGCTCCCCATGTACCAAGCTCTTTACATTTCCATTGTGCTTTTCAGTCTCCTGGGTGTGTTTTCTCTTTCTAGTTTTTTGGAAGACAAAATTTTCTTGAATTGTAATCAGTTAAGTCTCTTGCTCTGCTATGGGCAAATATTGCCTTCTAATGTCACAGGCAATTGTAGAATGGCAGGCTGTCAAGGTTGGAAGGGTCCTTAAAAGTCACACGGGGAACAGAGGCCAGAATCCCAGAGTCCAAAAATCGGGAAGTAGAACCTGAGCTGGTAGTACCCAAAAGAGTCATTAGGTGGCAGTGGTGGATAGGAATGCTGTCTCCCACGCTGTAGGG